AAGATTCAGTAAAGCACGTAACTGTGAATGGGCTAACGAATCACTCTTCTGAAATCAATTCTGTACTTTTTGTACAGTAAATATCTGCAATTATTACTGAATATTCATTGAACATTATTTCAGAAGGAGGAGAAGGCTTACAAATGTGAATAAACACATCTGCAAGAGGAATTGCAGTATCGGCTGGCTACGATTCATTTTTATTTGCGTCAAAAGTGCCCTTTTGCTACCAACAATATTCATATACTACATTAGTTTATCAAACTGAATCGAATAAAATTTTCGTGTTCTCGTTTATCTACTACCATTCCGTTGATTCGTAAACCAAAATTGCATTATTTTGATTTACGAATCAACGGAATGGTAGCAGATAAACGAAACAAAATTATGAAGAAAGAAACGCGGGAATGTACTCACAAATGCAAATGAAATAGTATGATAAACACAGCATTCTCTTCACTCAAAATACATAAACATAAACTGATCACTCAAATTCACATTCCCCAAAAATATAAGAAAAGTAAACCGATTGGCAAAGAACAACAAAAGGAAACAAAACTGCGACAAACAAACCTCATCAGCGATGAGTCGACCAATTGACGGAATTAAGACTCGCAAATGAGAGGATATTAATTCGGGATTGGCTGACAACAACTGTCGAGCACCAACGATAGCGTCTTTACGAACATTTGTATTGTAATGACCCAACTGACGACACAAATCGTCCAAGGATAAGCCTCGATGCGATACGCATTCACTTTCAGGCCTCGACAACTGCTCTAAGAGCACCACCTGAATGTTGTTAATCAGCATCAATTCGGCTAGGTTCATCAGCAACATTACTGCCCAGGACAATAACTGAATAATGATGAGAATAATAATAATAATAACACTGATCATCTGCATCGGTAATAACCTTTTTTGTTTGAAATTGCGTTTGGGTTGCTGTAGGTTTTTTGAGTTGCTTTCCAATTTTTAGTTTAACTTTAGCAAAATCTTTTTCGGCATTTCTTTTCCTCTTCTTCTGTTTGTTTGCCATCTTCTAAAATTCTGAAACACAACCTAAGCCATATTAGTAAACTGATCATCTCAAATTCAGGATATAATTCATAAACAACATTTGAGATAGATAATTTCAGCTTTTCAAGAATGAGAGGGATATGGTTTGGAAGGTACTCCTTCGAAATTCACTTGATTACTTGCGTAGAGGCGTTGTTCAATTACTATCTGAACACGACTCAAATCTGTCGATAACGGTCACATGAACTGCTGCTATGGATACGAATCACTTTCAGCTCAACGCCCGGCACACAAAACCGCTCTCGCTCATCGTAAAAATGCTATTCTAATCGAGCAATCACTTGTTGCACACACTTTTTCCAAACAAATGCTTCCTAGGTGACCAAGTTTCGTTCAACCCCATCAATCAGCCGCCACTAATTCGCAAATACAACTCAATCGAAAAGCTTTACTCACTTCATTTGCTCGAATGAATGTATATGATGAACAATAAAACATCACGAGATAAGCATTAAGAATGTGAAGTGAATACGCAACACCCAAGTTATCCCTTAACGTTACACTACTGTGTGAATGATCAAAACCAGCGATTATGAACAAATTATATTCTTTTTTCATAAAAAGAAAATAACACAAATTAGCATATAACACAAAAAATCAAAACCAATCAGCGTGCAGATCAAATCCAAACAAACAACGATATCAACATCAAAGATCAATATTAATTATCAAATCAATCGTACAATAAACAATAATCGAAATCAACTAAAAATTCAATTAGAAAAACAATTTAAAACGGGGAAACGTTTAAAACATCAATTATTACGGTTACTGTATGTACTCAGTGCTTTCGTTTACAATAGGAGATTAATTCAGTGTGACTGACAATATGCATACGACGTTTGAAAATGATGATAAGAAAACGTGATAAACCTAATGAAATGGTGTGAAAAAAGTACAAAACAGCAACAATAAATATAATATAGATGAACACGAACACAAATTACTAGAAAACAATAAACGAAAAGAATAAACATCGATAAGAATGGATTTGATACAACTAAAACACACACACACCTCGTCACACAACCATCCCTTGCCATAAAATTCACAATCAAAAGCTTTACCTGCACATATCCATCGATTAATCAGTAAACAAAATGAACAAATACAAATCAATTCACCGATACGATCTATAATAATACACCAACAAACTGTGTATTGCACACGTTGCATGACTGTTTATCAGTGATAACAACTATCGCCAACGCTAATGTTGACAATAATCGATTGAGTAATATGTATCTGTGATTTCTATTCTCATTGAAACCGTAACAAACCAACTCGCATATTTTGGCGAATGCAATTAAATTCCAGTAAACAACTATCGACTGGGTATGTATCGCTTCTATTAATTCATAGAAAAAGTACAACCAATCCACTGAGCTGACCATCACTAAGGATAGTCAAATGAGAACATACGCTTCAATCGGTTTGCTAGGCATTTCAGAGAACAAACCTCGACCCGAATGAATTGTAAAATGAAATGAATTCCACCATAAAGATTATAACAACAAAAACTAACTACCGATATTATTAGAAATACACAAGAACCTGGCTAAAGTTTCCTCAACAAAAATGATAACACAGTAATTCTCATCATACAGAATTCAAAATGACAAACACCCGTAAAAGGGTGGCCCATATGTATCATTTTGAATTTACGATAAGAACTGCTTGTGCTCATTATGTTTGCTATACACAGATGAAACTTCTAAACGTTCACAGTGAATAAAACAGGTTATTGCACAACGATCAACCTTAACCAGACGTTGTGATCTTTTGAAAGACACAAAATTATAATCGAAATAAAACCATGAGATACATATGTAGATGAGGTCACATAACATTAAATATCAAAGTAAATAACAACATTACACACATATACATACGTATCGTCGATGGTAATTCCAGATGTGTTGAGTAGTTAAAGGGTTGTTTGATTTCAGTATGGAACAGTCATTGTATGATTTTGGATGCAATTATTATATGCCGAATCGGTGCTGTGCTGCAATATTAGAAATATAACGAGTGAAGAAAAATAATGTGATAAATGAAGCTACAATATTCACAGCTGAACAGCAACCTTATCTGACGCTCACATGTTTGATAACATTCATGCGGCGCTGATCAAAAATCGTGACAATTTCAAATGCATAAATAAAAAGTTACTAACAGAATAAAAGCAAGAAATGGTGACGAAATGTGAATTGATTATGATTAATTGCTATTAGATGTTGCCAACTGATGATGGCGCGGGACTGCTACGAGCTGATCCAACGCCGCCGGATTGTGCTGATGGACGTTGCGCGGCTGTTATATTCGCATTTCGAGCATTATTCGAGCCGATGCAAGAATTTGCGACACTTTGGAATAACCTTAAATCAGATTCATTCATTTCACTTCATCCCAGCCATTATGAATTGCTTTACGGTCGCATCACTCTATCGCAATTTTGCACATAACGATTAATCAGAAACAAAAACATATTCGTTACTGATAGCAACGAAACTAATACTGAATGGATGCGAACAAACATAGAATTTCTCGCCATATTGTCAATAGATAAATATGATCACACAAATCACACTAAGGCAAGAAACGAGATTCTAAAACATAACTCCTTGCAACTGCAATCATTTATACGAATAAGGAAATAAGTTCATGAGATGTACCGTTCAATTTCAGGAGCACAACGCACAAATTCGTGTTTCCAGAAGCCATAACTTGGATTCTTGATGAGTTCGATGAAAGTGATCAACAGACCCCATGGATGGGGACGAAGAGCAACTAATCGTTCGAATAATATGCTGAAATATTACACATTCAATAACGATAAGATATATTATAGATCCGATCGACGATAAACTGATTTATCGTTGGCAAATCAACCATAAAAATAAAGGATCAATAGGAGGAAAAAGAATATGACAATTTTAAAAAATCCTAATATCAATTTCACTAAACGTAAACGGAGAATATGCGATAACAACATCAAAACGTAATGATAAGTACCGTACCGAGTAATTTGTTCCTGTATTACTTCGGTGTTCGCCTCTAAGAATAAATACAAAAGTGTGCAACTGAAATAATGTGTATGGCTGTTGGGATATCGAAGCTGATTGGCAATCGCGTTGAATAAAAGATATCGACCTGCAATTATTTTGAATGACTCCTTTGTGATCAACAAAAACAGCATCGAACAGCAATCACATTCGCAATGAAATAAATAAAACAAACCTTCAGTGCAAAGGCTGACAGCAAGATTTTGAAATATATCCATATAAGCGGTGTGCGCTATTGTGCTCATTGTAATGCACTGCTGCTTCTCTTGGATTGCTTGTATTGCACGCATACCAACGTACAGAACAACTGCGTTCATCACCGTCGTATTGTACTTCGCACCAGGTATGTTACTTACCTGCAAAACACTCTTCGTAATAGTGACTAATAAAACATTATTTACGTAAACGGCTACTTCCTCTTAAAATTAACGGCACTGCAGATAAATTGACAAGTGAAATCACCTGTAACATCGCTGGTAAACTGGCGTGAAAGTCAACAGATGAACGCGTAGCAAGATAGTCATCAAGACGTGCGCGCAAATCAACAGGAATAATCGTGGCCATATTAACGTGCATTTTCGGTTCTTGCGTCATCTCCACTAAACTATCGACCTGGAAAATATACACAAAAATTATTCGTCCTCACCTAAGTAGGGTTGGATCGGGAATGCCGACCTCAGGACCTCCGAGTCCGATTTTACCCCGACTTGATGCTCTATTACAATCTGACCAAATACTTGTACCAACACAAACAAATACCATTCATCATTCTATTCTTTGTATCAATCAAAA